GTGTTTGTGGTGTTGAAGCATTTCATTCACCTGCTAGTATCCTTTGTACTCCATTTTCCAGTTCATAAATTGCATCTGGTGTGAAGGTTTCGCATTTAAGTAAAATCGATTTTTCAACCACTCTATTTTAGCATTTGTAATTAAATGACACTATGAATATGACTGACAAAGAAAGCGGACAAAATATACAGTTCCTCAAGTAGACGAAGGAACATCCCTTCACTGCTATTATGTAAAAAGGTGAATATGCATGTGACACCTGTTCTACACATTTTTACATAATAGCAGTGAAGGGATGTTCCTTTGTCTACCTGAGGAACTGTATATTTTGTCCGCTTTCTTTGTCAGTGATGTTCATAGTGTGACTTATTGTCGTTAAACTATTGTATTTTGTTCACCAAATGTTATTTTTACCTTCTCGGCTATGATATTTCCTCAATGAAGAGATAAAGGTTTTGTTATTGAATTAAAAATTATTTACAATTAAAGCTTGGTGCATCATCCATGTAAAACTCCACCTAATACGTCACATTATCAAGAAAATGGCTGCGCCCATGTCATGCTTAAACTAAGGGCATTTAGATCAGGCCAAGAAATCTTCATTGATATAATATATTTTGTACACTTTCGTAAGATATATTGTACATCAAAAGGCTGGAAATCATCTCGTTTTTCAGAATACCTACACATATTCTTTGGAGTTAGTCCTCCTTTAAACTTGAATTAAGACAATACTCTAATAGCTGCTCAATGTTGTTTTTTTGATGTAAAAATGAATCAAAAACAGGGATAAAACATGCATGATAACAAAATTGCCCCCTTCTAAATTCCACTTTGCTTCTTTTACATTCCCATTGCCTACATTCTAAATTGCCTCGTTCTACATTCCACATTTCTCAAAACAATTGACTTCCTGCATATCAAAACGTCAATGTGTTTTTTCCTGTAGTAAATAAAAAGAAAGTATAAAACAGGGATTAAAAAAAATGACATACATCCATGAAAATTGAACAAATTGAACAAACTGTAGCTTATAGCGTGAATCGCTATCGCATGTTCCGTAACAGCAATGCTTTCTTTGCCGGGGCCTTTTTTCTTCTATTTATCTTTAAAACACTTTTTTTAAAGGTAGGGGGAGGGCTCGAGCCTCAAGCCTCGTCGTATTGCGGGCCCTGTACGATGTGTAACGGCCGGCATGATGATTTGACAGATGGACCTGAAGCTAACTGAGTCCTGACATACTTTTGAACGGTAACTTGCACGACCTAGTGTACATCGATCATCGGCCTTTTGTTTAAATCATATAGGCCTAAATCACGAATTAGGGCATGTTCTGATCCTAAAACGACCCAAATCTCGTAAGATGGCTAGCTGGGCCCGTGCCTTGGCCTATATATATATAGAGTCAGTGTCCTGGGTCAACTTCTAACTTCTGTTATTAGCGCTTCTTTCTTCCCCTTTCCTTTCCCCTTTCCTTCCCCCTTTCATTTCCTTTCCTTTTTGTTTTATAGAGGGGGGGGGGGGGTGCATCCGTGCCTGCCTCAGAAAACTTCCTTTGTTAAGCTCGATTATGAACAAAAGTCTAAACCCAGCGTCAAGTTTAAAGTTTAGTAGAATACGGGCCTATATGACATCCTTGTTTAACGTGAGCTTATATACCCAGAAGTTGGTTTCATAGAATCAGTGAAATACGGACCAAAGTATTATAAGAGATCAATATATATATAATGTCCAATTATAGATCATAAATCTGCATTAAAGGTCAATATATTTCAATACGACTTTTTTTATCTATATGCAAAAAAACTTTTTTGATATACATGTAAGTCCGGCCGTCTCTGACCCCTTTCGATTTCGAACCGGCATTTTGATTTGCTAGAGACGGGATGCGTCTTATTTTTACAAGGTATTTGGTACCCGGATGGATTTGGTATAGCATATTGCATGCGTGACTGATTTATGAATATAACTAAACTGTGTACCGGATTACATTGAGACCCAATAATTTTCGCAATGTAACCAAATGTAATACATAAGACTTCGTTCAAGTGCCTCAAAAATAATTATTTCATTCACCTGATAAGAATAATAGTATTTCAACAGTCAGAATGTAAACTGCATCTATTAAGTGTTGTTAGGTAGGGCTAGCCATAATGTTTTTCCTACCTGGCAACAACTAATGTATGCAGTTCGGATTCTGTCTATTGAAATACATGTACTATCATTTGTATCAGGTGAATGAAATAGTTTGTATCGAGGCACTTCATAAAGACGTATGCATTAAATTTAGATACATTACGAAAATAGCCAATCCAATCATAATTTAATCGTAGAGTCTTTCGGATCAAGGAGTTATAAGGGCTCTCAAACTTGTTACTGGTGGAAGCATGCAAAATGTGAATACTTGATCAAAGCTAACAGAATAATAATTTCTATTGACAAATGACGGCATCAGAGCATGGATATCCATCGTTTTGTAGCTATATTGTCCTGTTCATGTCAATAAAAATAGACTCATTGCTAATTTGAATTGAGCTATTCATCCATAGAGATTCCGATAACCAATTATTCTCGCATGCTTTAACTAACAATGACATGCCCTCAAAAACTTCTTTCCAAAATGGATTGCCAGTTACATGAGAAAGTTTAACCAAATAATTTTCACCAAAACTGATCATAAATGTTTTTTGTAAAAATGACTGCATTATCTAAAATGACCAATATGTGTACACTTATTCCAAATAATTCTTCTAACGCATGTTAACAGTCTATGTCAACCATTTTAAGCCACCTGTTTGATATGAACCAACATCTTGTTTTCTGCTTATTTTAAAAATATTCACGTTTAGCGTCCCCGCCCGCTTCCTTTTTTGAAGCCGCCTAGCTTTTTTTCCCAATTTCTTTTCTTCAATTTTTTTACAAAACATGAAAAACATACTGCTAAAATAATCTTTTTCTGAATTAAAAAAAAAACGAAAACATAAATACATAAATGAATAAAATGGCGGCCATCTTGAAAAATAGCCCGACTGGCTGTCCAGCCAGTCGGGGAAAATATACCGAGTAGCCATTTTGAAGAAGAAAAAAAAGGACCTCCTTCTTCCTATTTTTTTCAAAAAGGCAGGACGCTTTTTGTTAATGGCTGGCCTAATCAATATCGTATAGATTACGTTTCAATGCCTTTCTACTGTTGTGCATGTTACGTAAGATATATTGACAAGCTTTATTGTCTGACGGACATTTTTATTTGCTTTCAAGACGAGACGGTATAGCCAGAGAGTGTTAGTTACGGAGATTGCCGACACGGAACAAACACGTCTAAGGCGAGATTCGAGAAGTCAGGGTAGAGCCTTAATCAAGACGTTTCTTAATTTATCTTTTTATAATACTTGTTTGCACCGTTTATAATCATGGCATAATCCCCTCTAATACAAAATAACATCCCAAAGCAGACAGGAATTAACTGTAACTGCACCAGAAAGTTGGAAATGAGAGGTGGGGAAGGGGGGGGGGATAGGTGCATGTGACGGGAGTGGGAAAGGGGTCCAAACCTGATGTAATGAGCGATCACTGCAATATTTGGCAGAAATTTCAAGAATCGTAATAATATGCCATCTGCCTGGTTTTTTCCTAAATAAATATCTTCAATTTGTATTTTTTTTAAGAAAAGTAAATAATACACGTAAATGTAGACTAAATGAAATACAATATTCAAAATTAAACTCTATATAGAAAGGACTTTAAACTTTCCTGACAACTGATAGATCTAGGATCCCTCCCCCCCCCCCCAAAAAAAAAAAAACGAAAAACATAAAAATGGTAATTGGACTTGTTAAAGGTGTACATTTTTACCCAAAATTTCCTTTCATTCAAACAAGCAAGCACAAACACATAACAAAACAAAAATAAATAATTTAACAAGCGGTGGGGAAGCGTCTTCTAAGGTATGTGTGTATGTATGAGGGGGAGGGGGGGGGGGGGTCACCAACACAAAAAGACACTTCCTGCAAGAAGAAAAAAACACCTACCAAGGGAAACCTTCCTTTTTAAGATTTGTGAGGTCGGATTGCGACCAATTTGATCTTATAAGGAGGAAAAATCTTAATGGGATCTTGAGCACGATCTCATCATATGAAAGACTGAAAAGACCCTTCCTTGGTAAGTTCCATAATTACATCAACAATAAATGCGAGCGAGCTTTGGGGAATGGTCGAGAAAAAAAAGTTGCACTTAGTCCCTTGAAATGAAAGGCAAATAATCATATGGAAAAGGGGGGAAAGGGGCACTTATCACGTGACAAAGGAAAATGACATTTATTAGAAACGAAAAGGAGCACGTGTCAAACTAAAAAGGGGCACTTCTCGCACATGAATAGGGCACTTATGAGAATATGAAAGGGGCACCTATCATATTTTAACAGGGGCACAAATCAGAAATGAGAAGGGGAGGGTCTCTTTTTAAAACGTAAAAGGGGGAACGTTTCAAACTAAAAGAGGCACATATCTGAGGTGAAAAAGAGAAAAGGGAAGGGGCATTTCTAAAGGGAAAAATAAAGTCAAAGTAAAAGGCGCATTTCACAAATTTGAATAGGGCAATTTTCGGGAGGTGAATTAGAGACTTATCACATGCTGTATAGGCTTGAGGCACTTTTTGTACCTGCAAGAAAATGGGTACTCGGCAGAAATGAATAGGTCTCGCAGTTTAGATTAGTTTTAAAAGGCCAAACGTACTAATATGGCTGCTAATTTTTCGCATTGTTAAAGTCATACTATAGAGGAATCATAGCCATATTCAAGAACCTCGTTTTCCTGTGTTAACCCAGGCGGAGAGTTGGAATGGACCCCCTGGTTAACCTAATATATGGAGACAGTAGGGACTTTTAGATTCGCACGAAGACAATGGAGATTGCCTTCGTGCGTCCTTTTAATGCACTGCCTTGAATGGACGTCACACGTATCAGTCCACACAAATCTAAAAGTCCCTATTGAGTTCACCTCTTTTTATACAATAATCCCCGCACAGCGAAGGTCTTTAGTACGTCCATCTTACGCAAGCATGTTTTACTGAAATGTCTTATTTATCTAAGGTCGTTGGTAGGCCTGTTGTTTGCACGACTGTTTAATAAATAGAACTTAATGTGTATGTGCCGGATCACGGTGAGACCCAATCGTAGAGTCTATTGGATCAAGGAGTTACAAGGTCCACAGTTTTGCTGATGAAAGCATGCAAATTGTGAATGCTTTGTCAAAGCTAACGGAATATATTTCAATTGACAGACATACGGCATCCGATCATGGATGTACAAACGTTTTGTAGCTTTATTGTCCTGTTCATGTCAATAATTTGGCCGGCTGTCTCCGGTTTCAATATCTTGGTCTCATCCGTGTACGGCGAGGGAAGCCATTTTCTAGCAGGGGCGGCTGTAGGCCAAGGCTTGGCTGACAAGGGTCATAATGTGACTGTTCTCATAAGTAGGGCCTACGAACATCGGGCCAAGGATCCCAAATATTCCAACCTATCCTTTCTCATCTTCAATCATCGCAATAGATCGCTGCAGGATGTGCGTGACATGTTTTTCCATGCTAACACCATGGCGTTTGACAGCGCAGAGAGTCAAATGTTGGAGCTCTTTTCTCTCTTTAGCGAGTCGATGGCCGACGATTGCGTGGGTGTTCTTCATGACGTCGACATAATGAAGCAACTGAAAGGCATGGACGCCATCATCATGGATCCCGTTTGGTTGTGTGGTATCGTGATGGGAGCTGTCATTGAACGTGACCTCAATCACAGCAAACAAATCAAGATGATATCCATGACGCCAAACATTCCTGATGGAGCCATGTTACAGTCTATTGGATCCTACTTCAATTCTGCCTTTCAACCGGAAATATCCACTGGCTATACCAACAGAATGACCTTCCTGCAGAGGGTCACCAATATCTTCTTTACCAGTTTGACGATCATACTTTCACAGTACATCTTTATACCACCGTATCAAAAAGTCGCAAGGAACATGGGTTTTGATCAGCAGGACCTCGACCTGAACTTATGGACTTGGCACAAATTATTTGATCTTCATCTCATCAACATTCATATGTCCTCAGATTTTCCTTTCCCACTTTCACCGAATGTTATTTTGATAGGAGGGGGTCTTACTGTCAGACCACCAGCAAAGCTTGATCAGGTGATGACGTATTCTAACTCGATATAATACAGATCAGGGATGCATCCGTGATTGTCTAGACTCTTAAAGTTGCCCCCCTCCTATTTTATCACTGTAAATAAATATCTCGTGATAATCCACCGACCCTTCCAGCTAAGGTTCGAAGAGGGAAAGTGAAAAGAGGGGGGGGGGGGGAGGGGGTGTCTTTACTTGCCTGTAAAGCCTGCCAGTTTTTCATATTTTGGGAGGGGCTGCATGGATGTACCTGTATAATTATATATTATGTGTTTGTGTGTGTGTTTAAATCCCTTTGTATACCTTTCCATCAATAAAGTCTATACTTTTTTTTAAGTAGTTCCGTGGAGCGAGTACCCCTCCTTTAGGATAATAAGAAGCATTAAGAAAATGGCTCTTTGACAACTCTCTGCCATTATTAAACCTTCAAAGAGCATCAGACTATATTTTACTGGACAGTACGTCTGGATCAACTACTCGACTTATTCAGGACCATTATCAATTTAGTTACCTGTCGATAGGGCAGTTGTTCTTAGGGGTAACAATTTCCTGGTAGATAGGGAACGTGGGATAGGGAAAAATTAAGAAGGTGGTTGTCGTTCATCGTTCTGATTTTGTTTTTTTGTAAACAGGAGTTAGAAGAGTTCGTGAATAGCTCGGGAGACGAAGGGGTTATCGTGTTCACGCTTGGCACGTATTTCGCCTCAGTTACCAAGTTTCAGCCAAAGTTTGTCGACATGTTTGCCGAAGCTTTCCGAAGATTACCTCAGAAAGTAATTTGGCAGTTGAAAGAACTTCCAAAGAAGGAGTTACCTCCCAATGTGAAAGCTTTGCCATGGGTTCCGCAGAATGATCTTCTAGGTGAGTTTAGTAACATTTTCTTTAATCTCACTCAGTCTTGCCCTTTTTTTATACTTCTGAATAACCCCTAGTTCTTCACTAATCTTGACTTATGCTTGTGCTCTTTGTAAAGTGTATACAGGTCAAAGAAATGCCCCTTCAGAAGTTAACAAGTTGCCCCTCTATTAGTGCCTTTTGTATCATAACGGCTAATAGGAGCATGGATTATAAGCTAAGTACGAACGAATTCGGTTTGGTAATACTTGGGTAAGGCTGCCGAATAGAAAAAGGTATGTACAAATCGAATAACGGCCTACAAAATGTATTAAGTGTTTTGACACAGAAAATAAGCTAAGAGCCGAACAAAATGAAGAGGTACATTTCTTCTATCTCGAGAGGGGCATTTTGTGCACTTGGTAGGGGTATTTTTTTTGCTTTGAGGAGGACAGTAGGAGACTTAGCAATAAGGCCAAAATAAATACTTTTTGTTTTAAAAAAAAGCAATTTCAATTTAATCCTAAGTCCTATTTCACTGACCCCCTTCCCTACGACACCAGGTCATCCCAAGCTTCGTGTGATTATAACCCATGGTGGCAACAACGGGTTCCAGGAGGCCTGCAGCTATGGTGTACCCATGGTCATTATCCATTTCCTCGGCGATCAGTACGACGTCGCAGCCAGGGTCGAGGCCCGGGGCATGGGCAGGAGCATCGACAAGTTTGCACTCAGCGCAGATGTCATTTATGAGACACTCTATGACGTCATCAATAATCCAAGGTAAGTCATCGAAATTAGCGAGGGCTTAATTTCATTGTGATTTGAGAGGGGCGGGAGTAACCTTATTTGGCCGATATACATATATCAAAGCACTTATAACATCAAATTTGATTGTGCCAACTAATTCCCTGGAAATCCAGTATGGTGGTGTGATAGGGAGGGGGGGGGGTGATTTATATGTGTTACTAGTGTTATTTACTGATGAAATAATACGAGATTTAATTACAATCATGTACAATCTTTTGTTTTCTTTATCTTTTTAATTCGAATATACCTCATCTGACAGTCCAGTCACAAATTCGATTGAAGTATTTTGATAAATTCTTCGCCTCCCACCGTTTACTAAAATTGTTATAATCTGTTTCAAGGAGGAAAATTGAAAAACGATCATACAAAGAATATCGAGTAGGTTTTGGATTGTACCTCCTATTTTTAAACAAATTTCTTATTTTGTTTTTTTCCGATTTTTCAGGTATGCAAAGGTTGCCAAAGAGGTTTCTTCTATCATCAAGAATGATCCAATGTCTGGAAAAGAACGCGCTGCATTCTGGGTTGACCATGTGATCAAATATGGCGGGGATTATCTCAGGTCGCCTGCAACAGAACTCTCTTTCATTCAATTCTATATGCTAGATGTCTTAGCATTTCTCCTCACCGTACTTTGTATTGTGTTATTAATTGCATTTGCCTGTTTACGATTTGTTATTTCCCTTTGTTATCGAGTTGTTTTTGGCAGTACCAAATCTAAAACAGATTAAAGACTATGACTTAAAATTTTAGGGTTCATAAGTAGGTATTCAAATAATGCATAACTATTTATGCCATAATTATCATTAATTAGATAGGACACCTTTGATTTTCCCGATATTACTGATTGAACAATTAAGGTGGAACGAAGGGGAGTAGGTTTGTGGGTGTATCTGTTTCAAAAGTTTAAAAGTAATTTAATAAAAAAAGGGACGGATCCAGAATTCTCTAGCAAAAGGGGGACATGAATCCGGGGAATCTCAGACAATCTAATACGCAAAATTTTCTCGCATTTGAACAAATTAGTCTCATATTTGGAAGCAAAATCTTACATGTGCAAGTAAATAAGCACAGAAGAGGTCTAACCACCTACCAACATCCCGCGCACACACACGCACACACCACTGCCTTTCATCCCACTATCGCCGGTCGGCCACTGCCTCTGAATTATGAACTATTTGAAGTAATGCATATGAGTAAAATAAATAATACGCCTTACTAAATTACTAAAATGTTTAACTACCATGTTTGATGGCGCTAAACCACTTGTTTGCAGACTGACAATTAAAGAGAAGGTTGAGTTCTGGGGAGAGGTGAAATATAATTTGTGAGCGTTTTCATTGTGTGGAAGAACGTTAGACTAGAAAAAAACGTTCCATTAAAAGCATGGCTCTTCAAATGCCTTCATATTTTAAATATGACATATAACAGCTTAAAAATGTGGGTCTCGTTTTTATACCACATGTTTTTGTAGTCCCATATCTACATTTTTCTGTATTCAGTGCCTGCTACTTTTACCAAGACTGGGCCAAATTTGTTATCATTTGATGATTTCAGAACCTTGCAGTACACACCAATATACTTATATGCTACATGATCAATCTTTTCTGATCGATTCCGCAAAGTTTCTTTCGCTATACATATCTTTTTTTTGTACTTGATGCCAACGTGCAGTTCAATAAAGAGTTGAATATCATGATGTATTTAAAAAAAGAAGAGATAGAGCTTAGAGAGGTTCTGAATTTGAGCATTGCTTTAAAGATTATGTTCCAGTATCGTTAAAACATAACTTATGAGCTTATACATGACGACAAATGTCATAGAAGATTAAAAATGCAATAAATTCTTTGTTCTAAAGGACTTTGTGTTTGGTTTCGTATTTAGCAAAGGTATCCCCCCATGTCAGATTTCGTTCCCAAAGGCACCTGGAAATTATTTACTGACCTGTTTTCATGCTTGTCATTTTTTTTTTTTTGGGGGGGGGGGGGGGGGGGGGGGGGTCTGTTTTTGGTTTCGTTTTTCACCAATATTTAAACGAAGAGCGAATATTTTACCATTGTCCCCAAAACATTTTATTTTCACTAAGATTAGTGTCAATAATTATCAGCCCTTCTTTGTATTTCAATTTACTAATTCATGTATATCAATTTCGTGTGAAAATGAAAGTGAAAGGTTGGTGCTCGACTATGATTTTGAATCGACGATTATCTGGCCGGGGAGGGGGTTACAACAAGTCCAAAGAAATATCTGAGAAGCAAGCTAAATAAAATGTATCCCATTTAATAGGTTTGCGGCCCCATCTGCAGGCACGTAGCCAGAGTTTGATGTTTGGGGGGGGGGGGCACATACATGTAATCGATCGAGGTCAAAAAAAGTTCAACCGATCTTGGAAATTTAGGGGGGCACGTGCCTCCCGTGCCCCCCCCCCCCGTGGCTACGTGCCTGCCCATCTGGCAACACAACCTTAAATATGCCAAGAAAATACGTTGATAAAAATAAATGAGGACTGCCACTTACCCCCCCCCCCCCTATACTCACAGTTAATGCCCCCTCCCCCAATCCACTCAATCCCATACTCACCGCCCATACAAATTTTTGGTCTGTTTTTATCTAATTCACGTGGGTATAGTAAGTTAAAACTCTGTGCTCGAATCAATATGCTTCACAAGAATGTTTTAAACAAATGGCGCTAAGCCATTAGTTCGATATAATATCGACATACATGAGCAAGCAATAGGTTATGCCTGACTGTAATATTTTTTGACAAGAGATGGCGCTATACCGCTTTGATCCCAAAGAGATTCGATCGTATGTCCTCCACAACAGAAATGAGCTGAGTAATGTTCTTTTACAGGTGTTGTCAATCACCAGGGTTAGCCTTCAGTTTTTATGAGCATTAGACCATATGTATTGCTTTGCTTTCCCCCCACCCGAAGACTCTCGAGCTCTCCGAGAGATTAGGAGGCAATTTTTGACTGGCGTACGGGTTCGCTGTGTGCAGATTTGTATTCTCATTAATGGTATTTCCACCAAGTCTTTTGTGTCAGCGAATTATGGCCTTCTGCACATGAAAACTGACGAGTGACTCCCTGTAATCGAGAGATCTAGCTTCCCGAGCCTCCCGAATTTGAGCAAAATTTTAAAGATTATGTTTCGTTAAAAAAACATAAATTAAGCGGCATATTCTGGCTAATGTTAGAGAATACTTTTAACAAAATCTTAATTTTAAAGGAGTAAATAATGTTATCATTGGGGCGGGTAGATGGATAAACTTTTCTCTCGAGCATGCAATCGCCTCGCTTTATTATAATATTTTATCTAACAAGAGATGGCACTAGACCAATTTTGAGATTGGTAATCAAGCAACGCCTAGCTTGTACTACGAAAACTCTACTATACTGTTTTATTTACAAGTACCCCCCCCCCCCCCCCGCTTATTTGCCGGCTGGCTGATGCGGCGCTAAATATTTTTCACGAATTTGGAAGAAAAAAAAAGTGCTCCTCCCCCCCCCCCCCCCCCCCCCCCCCCCCCAATTTTCGCCGGCTGGCTGACTCGCCGCTAAACATTTGATCACGAATTGGACCCCCTATTTTGCATGCCGCCGGCTGGATCCGCCCCATGCAGCTACAGGTATAGGAGAACAGACCTTTCCTTATCTTATTTTATCAATATTTTCTTGGCATGTAGACAAATACCCAAGGTACGTAGGATGTACAAACGTCTTTGTAAGCATCCATAATGTTTATTAATTCCCCGCAATTTTTTTTTTTTTTTTTAAAGAGATTAACAAAATTTTCTTAAATTTCAGTTTGGGTTTTAAAAAAATGGCCCTAAAGTGTATCTGAAATATATCAAATTGGTTTCTCAATCACTTCCTTTTATTGAGACTTTAACAAAAATAATGAAAGAAATGCATATTACTCTTAGTCAGCTAGTCTAGTCAGCTTAGTGGGTAGAATGTATTCATTTGAACATGGGTGTCGATCCGTAACTGATACCTATTCATCAGGGGGGGGGGGGGGATGATCTATTCATTCATCCCCCCCCCCCCCCCTGATGAATAGGTATTACGTAAGTATCGACACCCATGCATTTGAAGGTCTTTGAGCTAGTACATACTGGAATTGTGAGAATCTAGACAGTTTCAGAAATCAGAAAGCATATTGTTTTCCCAAATGCATTCGATGGAGGTATTAGGGAATACAAGTCATGGAAAACGTAGTAGATTCTAGACATATTGCATTTTTTTTTTTAGGGGGGGGGGGTATAACATTGTGCTTAATTTGAGGTCAATTATTTGCGACAATTTTTCAATCATGATGAAAGATCTTTTTTATTTAGGTATATTTATTTGTTATTTTTAAATTGTTTGTTAAATCGGATACTAATTTGGTCAGCAGCTTCCCTCGGTCATCGGTGCAGTGGATTTTTCCGCAAATTAAAATAATGTTAAAAAACGCATTAAATGTTGTTCGATATCATGGTGTCTATGCATGGAGAGACATGTAAGTGTATATACATAAATAAAGTATTTTCAAGTGCATAATATATATCTTTTCCAGCTCGATTTTTGAGCTTCAAGTTTAGCGCGGTCCCATACGTTAACTTACATGTTTGGTGGTGTGTTCGTGCACCTAATAATGAAAGCGTAATGCGTATGATTTTTTATAGATCTAGACCTATTTTAAAAATTTTGAACAAGGATTCCAGAGATGGTTAGTAGATTACTAGATCTAGAGCTATCAGTGTAATACCAGCTAGAACTATTGCAAAATTTAATAAAAGTCACAAAACAAAATTTAATTCATTTATTTTTTGTCCAATTTAGTTACATTCAAAAATGAAAAAGTGCACAATTGTTTTGCTCACATTAATGATAAAAAGGCTAAAGAAATTGCACTTTTGCCTATTTCTATTACTGGTACAGGAATATTAACCAATTGATGATGATAGCATGATATAATCTTGTAATATAGATTATTAATAATAGTTTTGTTTAAGTTACATCTATTAATTAATAGGTCTATATTCTTTAGACTTTATACAATATTTTTTTTCATATATGATGATTGATGGGGTGACCAAAATTCGCAGAGTTTTTTGAAATTATAAGGAATTATGATATCCGATCCATAATTTCTCATATTCTACCAAAAATATTTAGTTCATTTATTAACAAATGGATGGCAAAGTTTTTTACTACAAATTGGTGCACCTTAACAAATTATCGTCAAAGAATTCTGGAGACATCGCGATCTCAAAATTCGATGTCGGATCGGCATGCCCTGCAACTGACGAAACAGTCAGTTAAAGGCTGATTTATCAAAATAAGCGATCCATCAAATGTAAGTTAATTTCATAATTTGCAAGGCAAAATATCACCCAATAAGTTGTTATCACTTTTTACTTACAATTTCAATGACATCTTCACTCGATATTATTAAGATTCCTAGACACTTCTTCAAAACAGATGCAAAAGACGGCAAAATTCGCTGATATTTCGTCAATATTTTCATAATTTCACACCCACACTCTCATAGTTTTGCATCAAATTTCGTCGAAAGTAAAATCAAGTTTGTCATCCTCAGCTGCCTACGTACAATTGCATGAATTGACTTTGTTATTTTGCAATCCATTTCGTCAAAGTGTCATTCACATTCGTCATTCGAATTCCTGGTTGTATTTTATTTTCTCTTTTTGTCTGATATTCTCTTTCACAGAGTTCACAAAAAGCTTCTGCCATCTATGTTTGTCCAGCAAGTTCGTCATTATGATGATTTTGATACTGAATTTGAGCAGGTATGAATGATACAATAGGAGTTTAGGTCGTACTTATTAATTTTCACTCTGTGCAGTTAAACTATTATTTTTCATGCATAACACAAGTCACTTGTTTACAATTGCCACATATATTTCGTAATGTCACAACCTTTATTTTCAAGTAGTATGAGGGTATGACTAATTAGTATTAAAATTGAGAATTACGATTGGAAAACCATATTTGATAACTTTGATTACCTGAAATTCAATTGCAGGCAAGTTGCAAGCCACATGGGTCTGCCTTTCAGGGAGGCGTTTGATTCGGCGTGTGTTACCGGTAAACACAAAGTTGTTTCTTAGTACGGTATAGTTCAAGTTTACATCTATCATTTCCTTCCACACTTATCTAAAGTTCCTACTTTTTTTCTCCAATTGTCTTCTAGATGAAGACACAGCAAGTTGCAGACCAAGAGATTCCTCCAGCCAAAGACTCCACCTTCTATGAGATGATGAACTTCAAAGTGCAGGGCTATGATTGCACTCTGGTGGAACACTTTGCTCAGTATGCCCACAACCTTGCTAAGAACATGGAGCTCAACATCTTTGACAAGTAGGTATTGTCCGTTTGGAGCCGGAATAGCAGAGGGTCAATGCCCTTCTGGCTCTCCCTAGATGGTTCAATTTTTATCTTAATACTCCAGGGGCCTGTTTCACAAAGCCTTTTTTCAATGACAAGTGACAAAAATCAGTGACAAATCTGATGATAACCAATCAGAAGCAACTATTTCAGTAGCTTATAACAAAAACTGTCATTTATCACTGATGACAAGATTTGTGAAACAGGGCCCAGTTGTTCTCCTATCTCATCATGTAAAACATGATTTGAATTGAAGGTGAACTGAAGAGTTGTCAGCGCTTTACTATAAATGTCAGGTCAAGACTGCGTCGTTTAGGCAAAATGTAGGTGAAATATATTTGACTTATAAATTTATTATCTTTGTAATCATAAAACATAATGTTTTGAAGCTAAACATAATCTGTATTCTTATCTAAAACTGGATTATCCGTTTAAAATTTACTTAATGAATGGGTTGTACATACGTTATGCACTATTTTGCCCTTCCTGTGTCCTGATCACTTAATATGAAGTTTTTGTTTTCACAGCTATGCAATGCCGACCAAAGCAACTCTGATACACACAATACAGAAGCCAGGTACACCTGAGAAAGAGAAAGTCAGAGACTTCACTTTACAAACACATGAAAGGGTACTACAGGTGAGAGGATATTTCCTTCTTTTATGCTCTATGGGTGCTTGTAAAAGAAAATGTAAATTGAAAAGCAAACTACAATTCCATTTCAACTGCAGCGTAACTACAATTCCATAGTCTTACATTTCTAAGCAAGGAATGCAGATTCCTATTGAAGCCTATTTCAATGATGAATATTTTTACTTAAAGAAAGCCTCACCACATGAAGTAACTTTAGTTATTTTGAGACATTTATTGTATTCTAGCCCATTCATCTACAAGATTCCCAACCAAAGTGTATGAGAGAAGCATAAAGCAAGAATAATATACAGTTTCTCAGCACGACATGGGCATCGCCATTTTCTTGATAACATGACCGTGAAGTCATTTATCAAGTAAATATATTCAAATTTATGGATGCTCCCTTCCCAGGTGTAATAGATTTGTCAACTGCTTAATTTAGTATTTTTTCAATGATATAGTTACAATCGTTCGCCTGTTATATATTTTTAACCAAATATAATTTCTATCTTCTCAGCTATGATTTTTCCTCATTGAAAAGTTAAAGTTTTGTTATTGATTAAAAAAAAAATTCCAACTAAAGCTTGGTGCATAATACATGTACAACTTCACCTGAAACATCACATTTTCAAGAAACTGGCTGCGCCCATGTTATGCTAAAAGGCATCACATCATGCCAAGAATGTCTTCATTTATATCTCTCTTGTACATTTCCTAAAGGAATATTGTACATCAAAGGGCAGGAATACATCTCATTTTTCAGAATACTTATTCTTTGGGACGAGGTTTCCTTTAAGGTTTCAGGAAGGCACTTGGGAAGTACCCTCTTAAAGGTAAAGACCAGTATTGGAAACGCCCCAATTTCAAAAAATTACATGGAAGCTCTTATTACCAATCATGTGAAAGAATATGTTTTGAATAATACATGATGATAACAATTTTGCCAGGAAACCGCCTACTAATTGATACATTTGGTAAATTAGTTTATCTATTGGGATGTGAGAGATAAAAATGCACGTGTCGTGCACGTGTGCGTAGTCCCATATAAATCTTTGTGTGTACAGTGCTTGTAACTTTATGAATACTGGGCCATATTTCTTATCATTTTGATGATTCCAGAACCTTGCAGTACATCTATGCTAGATGATCAACCTTTTCTGATCGATTTCACAATGTTTCTTTCACAATGCAATCGCATGACCATAACTGGTCTTTATCTTTAACATCCAGAAATGAAATTAACTTTTGGATATCATACATGTGCATGTATATACATGTAGTGTACAAAACTGAAATACCAAAAAAAATAATAGGTTTAGAGGTTTACTGATTCACATAAAGATTAGAGTTTTAAAAGTCCTAATGATGATATGAATCTCAATAGGAATACTTAAAAGGATAATCTTTGCTTGTACCTTCCATCATCTAAAAATTTGTTATATTTTGTGAAAATTAATCAGAAGGGGATTTTTTTTCCTTACTCTAGCATTTATCTTTGATACAATACTGCATAAGACTTACTGATAATATCCAGCTTGTCTTATTGCTCATAATATTTTGTTTTTGTTCTAATAACTCTCTAATAAAGTTGGTTGAAAAACTGTGACACATACAATTTATGAACACAATACCTCTCTTTCTTCTTTTTGATAAGTACATTCCACCATCCTGTGTATTCCCGTACTGGTTTGGCAGGTCTGGTCTGGTGTGTGTACAGTGCCATATAACGAGAGTACATTACAAAACTTTGTACTGCAAAAAAAATAAAATATGTTCTCCTTCTATCGCAGTTGGATTTTCTGTACCTCCTCTTTGAATAAGTTTGTTAATTGACAAGGTCTCCTGGCAGTGAGTTCCATAGTCTTCTAGAGTCTGGGGGAAATGACCTCTGATAGACTAGGGTCCTTGCAAAAGATATGTAACATACTTGTTTTTGTTTATTTTTCAGATACAAGATCTTCCAAGCATGACAGCTCCACTCTTCACTGAGCTGCTGCAGCTGAACCTACCTGAAGGTGTACAGATGAAGATAGAGCCTGTGAGTGTAACGCGATGGAAAATCATCCATTTTATTAATTGCTTTGGATAAGAGCAGACTAATCAGATGCATAAGTCTGTGAAATTATGAATGCCAGACATATCATAAGATTGTCTTGAAAGTTTCAACCGTCAGCTTTTGGAATTTAACATTGGTAATTCAAATGATCCTAATTTGTTGCTACTTTTTCCTCTATTTTTTAATGAAAACTACCCCAAATTATCATTTCCCTTGAAGTCTATGTAATTGAAGGTGATTATTTGATACAGAGAGATGTGAAGAAACGTGCTATGGGCTATTTTGGCTCAGGCATGAGGCAAAATATTACTTTTGAGAAAAGTGCAAAATAAATGGCACATTAATTCAGCAAACAAGTTGGACGTAGAAAGTCCATACATAACCTCACAGTAGTGTGACTTAAAGAGAAGGTTGAGTTCTGGGAAGAGGTGAAAAATAATTTGTGAGCATTACTCATTCTTATTATGCAAGCGTGGAAGAACATCAGTTAAGACATGTTCCCTGAAAAGCATGGCTCTTCAAATGCCTTCATGTTCTAAATATGCATGTAACATCGTAAAAATCGGGGGGCGGTTTTTTTACGCCACGTGTTCGTGTAGTCCCATATACATCTTTCTGTGCAAGTGTTTGTAACTTTACCAAGACTTGGCCAAATTTCTAATCATTTTGATGACTCCAGAACCTTGCAATACACACAAATTCTCATATGCTAGATGATCAACCTTTTCTGGTCGGTTCCACACCGTTTCTTTCTCAATGCAATCGCATGACCATAAATCAACTTTATCTTTAATGTAACAATTTGATCTATGTGATGAAAGTCAGTTTGAATTCTTCTTGTACTATTTTTCACATTTTCTGAAATATCATTCATTTTTTCTCTGATTGATATACTGTCATCCAAAGCATCTTGTCATAAAGAGTTAAAAATTATTTTGATTAATCTCACAGGTGTCAACTTTATAATCTGTTGCTATAAAGAGCAACATCCTGCAGGCATAATTAGCCTTTCAGTCTGCGTGACTACCCACTGACTTATTTGGACATTGTTTGTGCCCAACTGATTGGGAATGTTATCAGCTTCAAAGCCGCACAGTACTCTTTAATCTCCATATCATTACTCATTTGAACAACATGAAAAAAATCCGTCAAGAAGAATAGTCATTTGGGAATGTATCATCTAATGGATTTTATGTATGGAAACATACAAACTGGATATGTTTTATTTTGGGAAATATTTAGGGCTTAGTTTTGTCCATTACGCAAAATTCAACCCAAAGTATTATGAATATTAAGATTAATTACTAAGAATATTATATATCTGGTAAAATACATTCCCAAAAGAATGAATATTGCATTTAATTCTTGGTATGAAATTATTTTTGTTCAATAAAGAAAATAACATCATGCACTAACATCAATTGCATTGCACGTGCACAGCAGATATATACACAATGTCTAGAAATTTGATTTGGATCAAAGAATTCATGAACTCTACCTTCTCATGCTAACTCTCCTTTACAGCACACGCAAGAGCACTTCAAGGAGCGCTACATCAGGAAAGAAATTCCAGACTCATTATTATGAAGACCTGATCAAAATCATAGCAGCAGAGACTATGATGTCGTCAAGCCAAGCTTTTGGCTCGGGAAAGACATTGTATATTATACAGAGCATGGATACAGTGCAGGAAGCGCAAGGAAATTATCAGTATTGTGGAGGACACTACTAACTGTGACAAGTTTGACTGAACCTCAGTGTGCCAGAATTTGTACAAACTATGGACATCCCTTACATATGATTATGTAACTGTGATCTCATGGCAGATGCTATGTCAATGGGCTCTTCTTACAGATTTGGAGAGGAAAGATGCATTCATGTTTCTTCAGTCATGAAATTCCAGGGTTTATAAATTCTTGATCAATGGAAAGAGTAATGTCACTTTTATTTTTGATTAAGCAATGAATTGGTACTGTAATTAAAAAAAAAAAAGGGTCTACCGGAAAGTATGAAGATTATTGAACAAATAAAATCAAAGTTGACTACAACATTTTGTAAGGATTTTTAGGAATTGAGAATTGGCATTTTACCAATGCATCTATCTTTTAAAATGAGTAATAAATGATTGCTTGATTGTTTCAGCTTTCCATCATGACGTTTTGTTAACATGCATTATTATTATTTTAGTTTGTTTGTTTTATTTTAGGTGATCAGAGTCTTCTAAGCTTAACCAATATCCCCAAGTAAGGGAAAAGATAAATTATGTGAGTAGTGCTCTAAATCATAAAAAGGGAACAATGCAATGTGGGTGAATGTCTCTGATGACAGCTTACATGGGCAATATGATTTTAAATTATAGGATAGAGGTTCAAAAATCACTTTGAGTTTGCTAGATTCATGGCTCCGTCAACCTCCCCCTTTATAGTATATGTTCTGTGTGGTGGACAAAAGCTCAAAGTTTAATGTAAGACCTTTTCTGTACATCCATTTGAAGGTTTCTATATTCAAAGAATTGTGTAAATGCCCCTAAAGATGTATTTTCGTGTCTTATATCCCAGGACTACTAATCACTATGGTACCTTGAACGGTTGAAAGGAAGGTCATGCAACTTTTTTTCTGACGGGATTTTATTCAGTACATGGATGAATCCTACAGACATAGATATATGAATGAAGCCAAATTACATTTATTTTAATGAACATTGTTGAAAATAGGCATCATGATGCACACTTTGAATCATCCGTTTATAGGTGACACATTTAAAGCAGATGCACAAATTGAATGCAACAAATTATGTCATCTTTGACTCTTAAGGAAACTAGGTTCTTTGCCCTCATGAAATTTTGAAAGGATATTGATCAAAACATTACAGCTACCAAAATGAACGTCCTTCTGAGAATCTTGCTTTCGTAGTTAAGAATTTGGAAGTGGGTCTAAAACTTGATGTGAGTGTTTTTTCAAGAGAGAAAAAGAGGGGAAAGAAGGAGAAAAAGATTGATAGATAGAAAGAAAAAAATGAGAGAGAGAGGGCTGGTAATGCCAAAAACGTCATTCCATGTTCTGGTTATACTTTTAGCAGATTGCTTATTTATGCGCCAGATTTAAACAAACTGGTATTTGAACTCGACTAATATACCTCCAACTATTATAGACCTTTCTTTCTGAGCTACTTTAGACTGGGCCTCTGTCGCCCCTATCGCTTTCTTTCTCTCCCCCTTTCATCCCTCTTCCTCACTCATCCTCTCCACACACTCTTTTCACTCTCACCATCTCTCTCTTATACTCTCCCCATCCCCCGATGAGACCCGTAATTGTGTGGGAGGAATTCTTCCCCCAACAGCGTCAATCGGAAGCTTCGTATCGGTTTCAAAAATTCATAGGAGAAAAACAAAAGAGACCATCCATCAGAACTCGGACTTTCTCTTTTCTCCTATTCTACCTGTGGTTATGTTGTTCCCCTTACAAGATTTTTATTCTTGTTCTTGCAATGCTGTGTCCGACATAAAATGCATTGGTGTAGCAATCAATCCAAAAGGTATTGATTATCTCAAAACGTGTGTAATCACAGTTATCGCCTAAATGCTTTGGAGTGCCCCAGCTACCCAGTGCCAATATTTCCCCCTTAGCGAATCACAATTAACGATCTGGTACAATTCTAAAACGATTTTTTTTTTTTTTTACTTTCTTCGCGCAGGTATTAAACCATATGTGATGTGACATTCAAGAGTATCGCTTTGAACGAATTGTTGGGATTGTTCAAAACTTTCTTTCTTGTTCTGATGAATTAATCTTCCTTATGTTTGAGATCGTCTTGTATTACTGAGGCTAGGGGTGTGCCCCTATCGTGCATGGTGAGAGTGGCAGGAGAGGGGGATGTTAAATATGAGGCCAAAAAAGATGTTGTATTGCCCTTTGCGACCGACCCTCTTATCTTTAAATCTACAGTCGGCTTTTAATTTTTTTAATTTTTTTTTAACCGTTTTTTTTAAAGAAAAAAAAACACGTATTAAAGCATTTAAAACTGAGAATTATCAGCCCAAAGAGGCAGTAATTTTTTTTTTAAAGTTTAGAAAAAGAAAAAAAAATCCGACCGACCGACCCATGTTTTGGCACCTAAAGGGCAATACAATATTTTGTTTGGCCTGAGGGAGAGGGGGGGGGGGGGTGAACATAAAGAAAGAAGAGAATAGGGGCCCTTTCCACATAACAAATGACATTAAGAGTGTGAAAGACCATTATTGCAAAGACGCTGGAGAGATTATTTTGAAGGAACATAATATGGGGACATGTGACAAGATACCAAAAAAAGTGCTGGAAAGTAAGATTAGTAGGGATAGATAACATCACAAAGAGAAGGGAAAAAAGGAACAGAGAGGATGGGTGAAATATAATTACATTAGATAATTTGCCAAGAGTGCTGGAGAAGGAGAGGGAGGGAGAGGGAGAGAGAGAGAGGGGGGGGGGTGAGATAGTTGGGGAGGATGAGGACGGATGATAGAGAGGGAACAGGGCTAAAAGATGGGAGACGTGTTAAATAAAAAGTGAGAGGAGAGAGAGAGAGAGAGAGGGAGAGAGTGAAAGAGATTGGAGGGAGGTAGAGAAGAAGAGATAACAGTGGGAGAGAGAGAGAGAGAGAGTGTGAGAGAGGGGTGGTGATAAGAAAGAGTATTGGTGTAAGAGATTGTAGGGAGAAAGAGAGAGAGAGAGAAGGGGAAAATAGTGATAGAGAGAGTAAGAGAGAGAGAGAGAGAAAGAAAGAAAGAGAGAGAAAGAGTAGAGAAAAAGAGACATGGAGGAGGGAGTAGGAAGTTTGAGATTATAAAGAATGCGATCTTACCTCCGAGGTCGTGAAGACGTTGGTTTTATCTGTCTGCCCTATCATTATTAATCACCGAACTGCTCAAATTTCTAACGAAAATCTGAGGCGTTTCAGACACTAATCTGTCGCAGTCCTAGAAAATTGTCTTTTTAAAGCATTTTTTTTCTTCTGCCCACGCAACGAAAAAGGCATTTGTAGAATGAAAAGAGAAAGGGAAGAGGGAATCTAAGATTTAAATAGAGATTGGACCTATTTCGACGGCTTTTTTTCTCTTAATCCCGAAATCGGGGGAGAAAGAATTGTGGGCCGAGGGATTTGAATTTGATCTTTAGATAATCAGTTTTGATACGAAACGGAGCACAATATCTCCTATTCACCCTTTTTTCCAAATCGAATTATTGTTCAAAATTGCGAATGATTAGTTAAGAAAACTCAAACACAACCATGTCGTCCATGGTTTTAACACTGACTTAGACGTTACTTTGTTCTTCCGTGTCATGAGATTCGTTCGTGACAATCACATGCGTTTATCTTCGCAAGACCTTGACAAATAAAACGAAGTGCACAGACCTACAAATTATTTGATTCTGCTTGACTAATCTTCACTACAACAGAAATGCAAGGAAGTTTTCGTTCCTTTGCCGCAAAATAAAAATGGGGGATTACATGAAGAACAATAGTTCATTGAGAAAAGTGAGGTAGTATTTATTGTATGCAATAATAATGATTTTAAGAACATTCTGTATATGCTTTATAAATACAATTTATCAATACAATCTAATCTATGTATCTGTTGCATTCAATTTTACATGTTTTCTTATCGTTGCATTTTATATATTGTACTTTACTTACATTAAACACAAATGTACATTTCAGTCTGTGACCGCCAGTCATGTTTTAATAAACATGATTGATTGAATTGAGTTGATAAAAAGAAGATGTTCGCACTGTGTAATGTAAAATAATAATGGAATTGGGTGCGATTTTTTATCAAACAATAATAACTTGTCTTTTTAATTTTAACTCCTCACCCCATCAAGAAGAGCTTGAGCAAACTTTGTTGATGTTATAATGATTTTTATTATACAGGCTAATGTATTCGCACCTCTGGACATCGCGATCTAATCATGTTATAAAAGGGCATCATCTAAAAGAAAATTCACTTCTGAATCAAATTCGTTATAGGGAAAAAGTCTGCTACCCAAACACTCGGAGGTATATTGACTGTGATAACCTAACTACATCATTCTTTGATGTGCAACAAGCGGAGCGAAAGCGCCTCCAATTTGGTATTCGACGGCGAGAAATATTTCTATTCCTTTAGGGGTATTTTGATAAAGATTTTCTCCTAAATGCCAGGGTTTATGAATAATATCGACACTTCGACAGCTGATTTTTACAAATCTGTTTCTTAGCGAATAAAATCTATAACACGTGTCTGAAGATGGACAGATGGGCCAGAGGAATTAAAAATAAAAAACAATAATAATAATAATAGTTAAAAAGGGAAAGTGTTGGGGTCAGCACGGGGGCCTCTTTTGGGGATAGCCTTAGTAAAACAATTTAGATAGAATACAAAAATATGCCATTAAAATGCAGCGGCTATACATTTCAGTGCTTGAATACTGCATATTTTCCTATTATTAATTACTCTTTACATGAACGGTAAAAGCAAAATGTTTAGCACTCATCATACTGATGACTTGAAAACAGTGTGAATCATTATCATTTGGATTCTTCTCATGCTGATCTTCATCTTTTTTTTTTATTATGGCTGAAATGGATTTTTTTTTCCCCCGGAAAATTCTTCCTTTTTGACATTTATTCTCCTTCATGCCATTCCCGCTAAGTCATAGCATATTACACAAGATGTATATATATTTTTCTTTCCAACAAACTTGATCACACTGTCCTACAGTGGCAATACCATGACACTCAACTCTATCCTACGGCCCCAAAAATGACTAAAAATAAAGAAATCGGGCAACTGGAAGAAAATGAATACAATTTCATGTAATATTGGAGAATAGGGTGAAATACGATGTCCATCTAGGTGACACTTTAGAGGGTTTAATAACTCGGCCAGAATGATATATTGGTAAACCTGCATTGCTACGAAGTCTAATATTTATGGCAATAACTTCAATATTAGAGTTTGGTCGGACGGAGGATATTTTTTGCTTCATCATTCAAAGCTGGAAAAAAAACAGGATAGAAGGGCAATGACTGCTAACCTCTTGAAAAAAGTTAGCCATTGCACAATGTATTGAAATATATTATGAGCAAACTAGAGTCACACCCCAATAGCGAGTGAGTTAGAGAGAGGGAAAGGGAGA